AACGTACCGCTACCCTGCTATTTAGACCTCAACAGTCCGGAGCCGATGTCTGCCACAGAGACTCTAAACCTTTAGGGTTTAGGGTTTAGGGTTTAGGGTTTAGGGTTTAGGGTTTAGGGTTTAGGGTTTAGGGTTTAGGGTTTAGGGTTTAGGGTTTAGGGTTTAGGGTCCCCACCGAACCCCCGGGCCTCGTAGACCTCCGGGAGAGGATCCGAGTCTGCCCCCCGTTCCGAGGCCATGCTCGTGCTTTCTAAGGGAGGCTGCGAGGTGTCAGGGTTTAAGGTTTAAGGTTTCGGTGTTTAGGGTTTAGGGTTTAAGGTTTAGGGTTTAGGGTTTAAGGTTTATTTAGGGTTTCGGGGTTCAAGGGTTTAGGGGTTTGGGTTTCGGGTTTAGGAGGGGTTGAGGGTTTGTGGGTGGGTGCAGCAGTGCAGCATTTCTGTGAGCTCAGGGTATGAAGCTTAGGGTTAGGACTTGGGGCTTATAGAGTCTGTGAAGCTTTAGTGCCCAAGGATTTACGGACAGTTCCAGGCTTACACAGAGTATAGGGTTATGACCGGCGGGACCAGAAATGACTTGAAGAAATTTCCTTGCTTCCCTAGGGCGATCTACTCATGATCCCTCTACGCCGCTACGCCAGCGGCCGAGCGTTATCATGACGCTTTGCTTGAGCATTGTAGCGCAAAGGGTTGGCAGCTGTCCAAGTGAGCATGGCAGCATGCCACCATGCGGTCAGAAACAAAGTTAGCCATCAGGACATGATTAATACTATAATATGGTAATACTAATAGTCATAATCATACTAATGAAAATGAACAATTATAAACATAATCATATGTCTTTTGAGCCCGCCTCTTTCAGCATTTGACGGAAGCCAAATGCCCAGACAGCCTGTCACCGACCCGGATCGAACCCTTGTGGTTACAAGCCACTTGCAAATGGGATAGGCATCTCTGTGCAGTCTGAACTACTGGAATTCTTGCTACTTGTAACCACAAAGGATCTACCTACATCCAACCTATACCCTCAACCCTCAACCCTCAACCCTAAACCCTAAACCCCGGTACATCCACCCCAGCCTTTCCATCCTCTTTCGGGTCAAGCCTTTTGCCTGAGACAAGCCCATGCCTCGGTCAAACTTCGGAATGATCCAAAGCAAAACGCCGAGGTGGGGCAGCATGAGAGCAGTTCACTAACTTGGGTCCCTTTTGTGGTCACACGCATGTATGTATACACACGCATGCATACATACATACATACATACATACATACATACATACATACATACATACATACATACATGCATACATTCAGACATGCATACATGCATACATGCATACATGCATACATGCATACATGCATACATGCATACATGCATACATGCATACATGCATACATGCATACAATCATACATACCTGCATACATACATGCATTCATACATACATACGTACATACATAGATACATACATACAGTCATTCATTCATATATACATTCATTCATTCATACATACGTACACACACATATATATGTACACACGAACAGAAAAAAAAAACATATTTTGAAATTATTTTCGGGGCCCGAGAATTTACATAATTGAAATGATTTTAATCAGGGATTTAAATTATTTTCGGGGCCCGAGAATGTAAATAATTTAAATAATTTTTGAACAGATTCTGGGTTTCTCAGAAGCCAGACCATTTAGATAATTTAAATCATCTAGATAATTTAAATAATTTAAGATAGTTAGACAATTTATATAATTTAAACAATTGAAAACTTAAACAATTTAAATCAGGGACTCAAATTATTTAAATTATTTTCGGGGCCCGAGAATTTAAATAATTGAAATAAGTTGAATCAGAGATTTAAAATATTTGGATTATTTTCGCGTCCCGAGAATTCAAACAATTTAAATAATTTAAATCAGGGATTTCAATTATCTACATTATTTCCTTGGCTCGATAATTTAAATATTTTAATTCTTTAATACATTCTCCATGTATAAAGAAAAACAGATAGCAACATAGTACATAAAGGTCCCTCCCTCATACATATATATATATGTTCTTATATGTATATATGCATTTATACTTACGTGTTTTTTGCTTATCCACATAGTACAGGACCTTCTAAAAACAAAATGACCCCCAAAAGCGGACCCTAACGTAGAGAACTAGCCCAGCCAGGCTGCTTTTAAAAGAGATGGGGAGCGTTCTCAATGGGGATCCACTTCTGAGAGCCCCGGACGCTTACAAGGCTTCTGCAGGATCGGTACCCTAAAGCAGGATCCCAACTTGGGGTCTGATCTTCATCATGGGCACTTTTTTGGAACCCTGAACTCTACGAATCGCATCTTAGCCAAGGAGGGGCCCATGATGTAGAACAACACCCACTGCCAGAAAACTACCCTCCGTCGAACATCGAGCTCCACTGAAGAGCACGATGTGCTCGGCTCAGCCAACAGAGATCCCTTGCTGCAGCCTGCGATTTGGGCAAGGCTTAGCGGTGCAACAGCATGCCGTGTGCTCACAATGTGTCCTACGCAGGTTGAGGATTGGCTGATGTTGATGTTCAGGGTGCTTTTTGACTGCCATCAAGGCACCGCCAGGGAAGTGTCTTGCCATTTCCAGGTGCCAACATTATAAGAGGGGGGTTGGCTGTTAAAGTCTCTTATGGTGAAATGATCATGTTGATGAAGGTTGCTATGCTATGATGCTTACATGCTGACAACAGAACTTTCTTGAATCTTGGCATTGTGCCTGTGTAGGATCCTAACATACAAGCGATCTGCCCTCGCGCGTTCGCCTATACCATACATATGTCTATACATTTTTCTCTAACATGAAAGGATTTTATATATAGGCTGATATATTATATGCTATTTCATCGTAGTATAAGTCATTCAATATTTTGATTCGAGACAAACTTCAACTTCGAGCCACTCACGTAAACGGTGCAGCAGAACCTCCTGCCAATATGCGGATATCTGCGCGTCCAGCAAAGCCATCGTCTCCGAATATCGGCGCAACGACTGCCAGCAAAGATCCCGTGTCGAACCTCTGCAGCAGCTGATCCACACGGCCTGGACATAGTTCCAGGCTTAGTGTTTTAGGCATGCTTGTCGGGGCTTCTCATATTGTAAATGATCGGCATCTCCGGCAGCATGATAGTGGATAACAGGCCTGACGCGGACCACTTCACTTACCGAGACCTCTAAAGGGGCAGTTGGCGTCATGAGAAGGTCCAAGCCCGCATCCCAAACCACGCGCCCTTGAGCAGCCCCGTAGACGCCTGTCACACACACAAAGTCGTTAGCCAGGGAGGTCGGATGCCAGGGCCGTAAGGCCTTGAACTGCATGGCTTACTGCAGGCCCTGCCCACTTTAGTGCAGGACACTAGGGCACTGCTCTCCCCTTCCAGGTAACCTTCGTAGAACAACAGCTTATCAGAAGCACCTAGCTAAAGGGACCCTGTTTCAGAACAACCCCCACATCCCATAACGCTTTCACAAAAACACAACAAAGCGAACCCTGAAACCCCAAGCTAGGCTTTAAAGATGTTCAAACCTATGAGGCTAAAGACCAGGACAACCAGCCAAGATCGCGGCTTTTTTCCCCTGGCGGCATGAAGCTGTTTGCGGCCTCGGGAGCACAGAATATCGTGCAATTTAAAGTGACTTAAAGGTGGTGGGCAGGATCTGCTTTCAGGGCGAGCTTGGGCAGTTCTCAGAGGGAGGTCTCACGCATTTGGGGCTCTGCGAGTACCACGTTGGGAAGACCTGCGCCAGGAGTTTGATGAAGGCTAGGAGTGACGTAGCGGGCCCTTCGGCTTTGGCTACAAGGCTCCGGCTCCTCCACCTGCATACGCTCGGGATGTTTTCCTCAGAAGTCGCAACTCTCTTGTAGCAAGCGGAATCTCTTTCCCAACCTCGGCGCTCAGATCTCACAGCTTATCACAGCTTCGTTCGGCTTGGGCAGCCACCCCGTGATGTCAACATCATCTGATGCCATCGGCGACCTTGTTGAGAGGCCACCCGAGGCCGGAAAGGCAATGAAACCATCAAACGTGATGTGCAGTCATTCCCTGATCGTAGTATGAAAGAGATGCTCTTAACGCTGCTAATGATTATATCGGGGATTCGGGGCTTCGGGTTGAGGACTGCATCTCTCTGAGCTGCCCTGCGGATATGCACCCCCGCCAGGAACCGTGGCCTGCGAGAACTTAACTGAAGCTCCTGAACCAACAGCACCTAGGCAGCCCCAAGCAGTCCCCCAAAGCTTACAGCGGCAGCTCGGAGCCCCTTTGGACTTCTCGCACCACTTCTCCCGCTGATCCCGAAAAATGCCTACTGGGACCTACTGGGCACAAGGGTGAGACAGGTGCAAGGCTGGTGCAAGGTGCAAGGCCAAGCCATCAGTCAAACAATTGGCAGCATTGCATTCGTGGCCGCGGGGCCATGTCTCAAAATACCGCCTCTGCACATTTTTCTTTCCTGTACTAGAACTGCTCTGCTGGCAGCTCTGCAAGCAGGCGTCCAATCAATCGGCTGCTTGCAGCAACTCCCAATCGTGCCGGCCGGTCTGTGAAACCGCGCAGGCATGTGCTGGTTCATTCAGCCGCGCTCCTCCCCGAGCACGGCCGATAAGAGAGCCTTTGCCCGCACACGATATGAGTCGAATGGCCCCGAGCCTGCAGCCTGGCAACTCCAGGACTGCAGTGCGAGGCGCCATCCGCTTTCGCAGATTGCTTCCCATGCCGGAATTCTCATTGCACAAAAAGGCGCCGATGTGTTCTCTCTTACTGTACTTGGAGGCCACTGTGCTCTAGACCTTGTAGGAAACTCATGGAAACTCTCTAAGTCACCCCCAAAAAGGGCAGAGGCGAACCGGGAAGCAGGACCCAGCAGGCGGCCCTTGGGTTCGCCGGAGGCCAGCGCTCTATGCGCTGCACGGATTGCTTGGGGGGGCAAGCCTTGGGCTTTGCCAGGAGACTCTCCTCACTTCAGCGCTCGTCTTCCTCCTCGTAGGGTGCTGCAGGGCTCTCAAGGGACCCCTCGTAGGATCCTGTAAGGCCTAAACCCTAAACCCTAAACCCTAAACCCTAAACCCCATATTCAGGGTGGTGGGGGGGGGGGGGGGGGGGGGGGGACCGATAAGCTTGAGGCTGTCATGGCCACGCCCACTCCTCGGAAGCTTCTGGAGACCTCAGGTAGGGATTCTAGGGGTTTGGGGGTTCAGGGTTTAGGGGTTTAGGGCTTAGGGTTTAGAGTTTAGGGCTTAGGGTTTAGGGTTTAGGGCCAAGTTTAGGGTTTAGGGCAGTACGCCTCGCAAAATCAAGGGAGTTCTGAGCAGTCTCCAGGCTTGAGGCTTTAAAAGGATTGCAAGGTTTTTGAACAGACAACGGCAGCTACATGAGCTGGGGGAACTGATATTCATCACCCTCTCCCCCTTTCACTGCTTGCTGTGCTCTGAGTCCCACACCTGCAGCCGATCCTTGCATGCTTCTTCATGCGGGGTCTGCGTGGCGCCTGCCAGAAGCTCATGAGCTCATGACAATGCCTTGCAAGGGTTTAGGGTTTAGGGTTTAGGGTTTAGGGTTTAGGGTTTAGGGTTTAGGGTTTAGGGTTTTAGGGTTTAGGGTTTAGAGTATTAGGGTTTAGGGTTTAGGAGTCTAGGAGCCACAGGTGTAGGGTTGGAGGAAGAGCGTTTCGGGTTGCACCCCACCTTCGTTGGCTCAGGGAACGGCACCTTGACGCCATTCGCGAAGAGCAATGGCTTGAATTCCTGCGCTGCTCAAAACACCAACTCTGAAACTCTAGAACCCAAGGCAACAGGAGCGCGAAATTCTTCTGCCGTACGCCGTGCACCTTAAGACTTAAGACTCTCTCAACCTGAATGGGTTCACCCTTTTGCGGCAGGCGTCCTCGGGCACAGAGTTGTGCATGACAGGGCTGTTCCTTCCAGGCACTTAGAATTTCGGGTCGAGGGTTTAGGGCCTACCGCTTGTGCTTTGCACCCGCCGCTGGCCAGTCCTGTAGCGGCTGATGTGGGACTCGAGTCCCTGTTGCCTGAGCCAGAAGTTTCAACCCTCTCGTAAGCTTACTGTAAGCTTCGGCTGCAAGAAGAGGGTGAAGGGCATCTTGCTCCTTTAGGGTTTAGGGTTTAAGGTTTAGGGTTTAGGCTTTAGGCTTTAGGGTTTAGGGTCTAGGGTTTAGGGCTTAGGGACTCCTGACTCCTGACGCCGAGTTGCTCAGGATTGCCCCAGGCGACTTCGCAGACCTGTGCACAGCGAGGTTGTGCGGGGGGCGGGCGCTCGGCAGAAGCTGGGGGCCCTGCCTTCTGGCTTGCGACCTTCCACTCCTTGAAGCCAGAAAGCTTCTCCTTGACTTGCAGTGCATCTTCGTGACCTGGGTTTTGGGGTTTTAGGGTTTTAGGGTTTTTTTTTTAGGGTTTAGGGTTTTAGGGTTTAGGGTTTAGGGTTTAGGGTTCAGGGTTTAGGGGTTAGGGTTTAGGGTTTAGGGTGCCCCTGAACCCCCCTGGCAAAAGAGGGGCGTGCCAAGGCCTGCTGCAACTCTGGGGCCCCGAGCTGACCATGTTGATGAAGGCGTAGCCCAAGCCAACAGAGTTCTTGAAGTCGATCGGCAAGTACACAAAGTCGAATCGCGATAAGAAGCCCTGGCTGTTCAACAGGTCCACTACCTGGGATCAATAGCCGCGCTCACTCAGGAAGGGGAGATCCAGCCTGAACCCTAAACCGGCCTAAACCCAAAATCTAAACCCAAAACCTAAACCCAAAACCGCAAAGGCTGCGAGAAGCCCTCTGACATCCCCCTCCGAATCGGAGATGCAATCAGGCAGCGTCATCGCGACTGTAATCATTGGGAAGGTTTCGCAGCATAACCGTCACCCACTTCGATTCCCTGAGCAGGCACGACATTGCATGAGACGCTTGAGCAGCTGCTTTACCACAGCCCGGCCCTCGCCTTCAAGCTCTAGATGGCTGATCGATTTACTCACCGAACACTCACCGACAGCGTTGCGCAACATTGTACATGTGCCGGCTACGCTGTCTCCACCATGGTAACTTCAGTCTGGAAGCGGCAACACCACCGCAGGCTCCATGGCGGATTCGGTCCTTCCGAAAACAGGGGCAGCAAGCACGGTTCGCATGGGCAAAGCACCCAAGCATGCTGCAGTGCCAGTAGCAGCCACGTCGGCTAGACTCAAAACTCCAATATTAAATAGACCCAATAGAAGTGCAGCCGTGGCTCTTGTGCCCATTTAGCTGCCCATCTTCGGGCCTCTCACAGCATGCCGTGGGTGCTGAGTGCTGGAATGGCCCCCCCTGTGCCCCGTTGACGGCTCTTCCCTGGCCGGGAGACCTTCTGGCATCGAGGTGATCGCCAGTGCTCACCGGCACAGCCTTGTGCGCACGACCAAAGCCAGGCCAAGCATTTGTTGAGGGGGGGAGCAACGAGAGCCAGCTGCATTTCGGACGATCGGGCTTACCTTGAAAGCCAGTAGACTAATTCTTGGCTACGGTTTCATATTTTGGGCGTGTAGTAGCCTCTTATTTTGGGTAACGAGGCGTTCAAGGTAAAGACTCCGCAGGGAGACCACGGGACACCTTTGCTTGTGCCCTGAGCACCATGAGGCCCGAGCTCCCTGACCTGGCAGCAGCCAGGGGTTGATCGACATGCCTTGGCTCCGACTTCTTTTAAGGTTGCGTGCTTAGGGGTTTAGTGCTTAGGGCTTAGAGTTTAGAGTTTCAGCATGGTACAGGTAGGTGCTTCTTAAGGGGTTGAGAGTTGGAGTGGGGGTTTTAAGAGCTTTAAGGTTCAGGGGTTACGGCAACACTAAACCACCTGAACCCCGAATTTCGTTTAACTCTGAATCCTCCTAAAACCCTAAACCCTAAACCCCAAACCCTAAACCCCAAACCCTAAACCCCAAACCCTAAACCCTAAACCCTAAACCCTAAACCCTAGGTTATCCATGCCCAGGTGCCCATGCCCACGCCACCGAGAGGTCCCAGCTCTGAGTTCGCCATCTCCTGGGAAGCGGCCACGGAGGCCATCCTTAGCGTTTGGGGGTTTAGGGTTTAGGGTTTAGGGTTTAGGGTTTAGGGTTTAGGGTTTAGGGTTTAGGGTTTAGGGTTTAGGGTTTAGAGTAAAGGGTTTAGGGTTTAGGGTTTAAGGTCTTTAGGGTTTACGGTGTTAGGGGTTTAGGGTTTAGGGTTTAGGGTCTTCAGGGTTTACGGTGTTAGGGGTTTAGGGTTTAGGGTTTTGGGGTTTTAGGGTTTTAAGGGTTTTTGAGGGTTTAAGGGTCCGCCAACCCTCGCGGCGTGCTGAAAGTTGTTTTTGGGTTTTGAGGTTTCGGGCTTTGGTGGTTTTCGGTTTCAGGGGTCAGGGTCTTAGAGTTTTAGGGTTCAGGGCTTTCGGGTTTTGGGGGGTTTTAGGGTTTCAGGGTGTAGGGTCCTTGGGTTGTAGGGTTTAGGGCTTTTAGGTTTCAGGGTTTGGGGGGTTTGGGAGTCCCCTTTGGGGGTTCCCGTTTCGCATGATGTTTGAGTTTTAGTGATTTAGGGGAGGGTCAAGGGTTTGGGGTTTTGGATCGTCTTTAACGGGATGGAATTGTAATCTCAAAGGGGTTCTGAGAAGTGTATATAAAGGTTTAGAGAAACCAGACGCTGTGGCTTCAACACCCGAAGCCACACCTTAACGCCCTACTGCTCAAAAAAAACCCACGCCCGTTGTCCCATGGTCCCTAAAGCCCTTAGCCCCAAAACCCGGAAGCCCTTTATGTAGGGGTCAGCTGATGCAAAGCCTGAGGCGCTGGGAAAATTGATGCGCCATGGCCTGCAGGTTAGCCGCGTACTGGGCCAGCGCCTGCGCGCTGGCTCCTGAAGGGGAAAGAGGCCTAGAGGGCCTGCACAGGGCCTATTGGCGGATGTGGGGTTGAGGTGTTTGGGCGTGTTGGCTTAGGGCTTGACTAGGAAGTTCAAGGAAACCCTCAAACCCTTAAGCCCAAAACTCTCAACCCCTCGGGTGCCTGCAGGAGGCATCGGCATCGGGGGGTAGCCCGGATAAGGTGGCATCATCTGCGAGTATCCCGCGCTCGGACCTGGTCCAGTATCTCTTCAAAACCGAGCAGCACCAAAGTTAAGCGTGCCGGCTTGTCTTCGGGTTTAGGGGCTAGGGTCCCTCAACCCTAAACCCTAAAAACCCTAAACCCTAAACCCTAAACCCTGAAAGGGTTGATGAATTTAGGGTTTTTCGGGGTCAGGGGGCCCTAAACTTGGCAGCTTCCTCCCTTATACTAACAGTCCTTAGTGGGGTATTACAAACAGGGGTTACTGGAATCCCTTTTAAAAGCTGCCAGTATCAGGGGAAACATCCCAACATACTATGTTTATCCCTTAAACCCTAAACCCTAAACCCTTAACCCTTAACCCTTCACCCTAAACACAAAACAACCAGAGAAAACTCTGGCGCCTGCCAAGCCTCCGCCTTGAGGCTCGGGATAGGCCGGCCACTCATACCTTTTGGGGCGTCTTGGGAGCTGCATTAGGGACTTTTCTGCGTGGGGGGCTTCTGGGGTTTAGGGTTTAGGGTTTCGGTGCTTTTATATGTTCGGGAGCTTTGGGGTTTTGGGTTTAGACTCTTTAAGTTTAAGGGTGTAGGCGTTTGGGGGCTGTCAGAGTTTGGGGCGGGGTTTAGGGTTGAGAGACAAGCAGCTCGGTTTTCACGGAGCCGAAGGATGTTGTGTCCTGGAACAGAAGTGGTCGGAGAATGGAAGACTAGTCGGGCGATGGGCTTACGGCATGCACCGTAGCTGTTTATTGTTTAATTAGGGTTTAGGACTTTGGGGGGTTCGGGTTGGGTTTAGCAGCCTCAGCCCTAACAATCATCAAGCCGCAGCTCGTCTGGTGAGGTGAAAGAGCCTTCTTCCCCGGTCCTTACACCTCTCGTTTCCCTCTGGGAGACCATGAAGACCTCGATAGGGCGCCGTCGTCTTCAGATTACGGAAGCTCTGGCGTGAAAGACGATTTCCAAAATTATATATACATATATGTATATATGTGTATATGTATATATGTATATATGTATATATGTGTATATATATATATGTATGTGTATATATGTACATATGTATATGTGTATATGTGTATATATGTATATATGTATATATGTATATATGTATATATGTATATATGTATATATGTATATATGTATATATGTATATATGTATATATGTACATATGTATATATGTATACATGAATATATGTATGTATGTATATATGTATATACGTACATATGTCCCCGGCCTCCTGGGCTGCCCTCAACGTTAACGTTGGGGCCGATCGGAGGCCTGGCTGGCAATTCGGGGCCGGCAACAGTTGTGAGGAGAGAGGATGAGCCCTTGAAAGAACGGTTTGAGGTTTAGGGCTCAGGGTATGGGGTTTAGGGTTTAGGGTTTGAAGCACTTTCTCAACACCCCATATGTCTGGCTCCTGCATGCCTGAAACGTTCTGCTAAGAATCGAAACGTCGGTGCGAACGAAAAATCAAGATTCAAACGCATGCCTTCGCACAGGCATGTAGATGCAAAAATGCGAAACAGTGTGTCTGGTTCAACTTGTTTCTGCGAAATAGGAAAGAGATACGTACGCGTATGGAATGATCCCACCCCAAACGACACCTAACTGATAACCCTAAATTCTACAAGAAGCTGGACATCAACAGACACTGAAAGCAGTGGTTGAGTCTTTTTCTGGGCCCCAGACTGTGCTGCGGGTACCGGACCAGGGTAGCTGGGCCATTCCTGGGAGTTCGGATCTCGACAGGCGCAGAGAAGAGCCGTGTCACTTCTTCATGTTCTTCTTCATGTTCTTCTTCTTCTTGCGATATCCCACAGAGAGATGTGCTGCCAGCGGCGGGTAGCCCACAGCAACGGACGAAAAGTTGCATTTACGGACACAGACGAGGTCTCAAAAGGCCTACGCACAGGACAAGCTTCGAACTGGGTCGTTGTGGATCCCCAAGAGCGTGTGTCCTTGACAGAGGCAAGAGGGGAGAATGGGTCAAACAGGTCGAAGAGGTCAAGTACATCCACGCGCGGTCTCGGCTTCATCGTGACTCCTACAACGCAAGTCTTCGGGCCCGCACAGGATTGCCGAAGGATGGGTTACCGGTGAAGCTTCCTGCACAAGGTTCAAGAGTCCATGGCAAGCATGAGTGCTGCTTGGCTTGCGACACCCTAGTGTCGCCTGCGAACTCAGCAGCCCACAAGCTAGTGCAGAAATCCCGTTCCCGGCACTCCCCACGCCTCGTGGCCCCTCTTCCCGATCTGACCTTTGCAGGCAGCGCTTCAAGCTCTTGACTCTTGAACCATGTTTGGACCTACCCCCCCATACCCAGCTGCTGGGACCCGAGCGTGAACGAGCCGACCGGATTGGGTCTCCGCGGTTCCTGGAAGCCACGGCCCCAAAAGCCCTCGCAACTTACAAGGGAAGATCTTTTGCTACGCCTTGCTTGCATGTGCGAACACCCGCTAGACATCAACAGTGGGGGTCCAAAAATCCCAAACATCCCCCAGCAAAGGTCCGATTGCAGCGGGAGAGTGAAGCCGTCATCTCTGCCAGCTTGCTCCTTGTAGGGCTTATATGCTAGGGTTTAAGGGTTTAGGGTTTAGGGTTTAGGGTTTAGGGTTTAGGGTTTAGGGTTTAGGGTTTAGGGTTTAGGGGTTAGGGGTTAGGGGTTAGGGTTTAGGGAGGAGTATGTCGGGCTGTTAGAGGATAATGCTACGGCTTGGGGGAGGCGAGGGCCGTTTTGGGGTTCAGAGGCTGGGAAGTGAAATTTGGATTCAAGCATTCAGGGCACAGATGGTTGATGTAAATCATTGGCTCTCTTGGGGGAGTGTTCTAGCATTTCTCCATATAGTTGGTTTCAAGTTGAATATCCGGGACACAGAAGGTGTCTGGAAGGGTTTAGGCGGAGGCTTACCCTTGAACCCTCTAAGCATGTTACAAACTGTTACACATTGCTTCCCCCTCATTGCCATCACACTGCCACCATTCTTGCTGCTGAGGCGCTGCAATGAAGTCTGGCTGGCTGACGTACGCTGGTGATCCTCCCGCCATTCGAGAGCTGCTTGGGCTCAAGGTTTCAGGGCTGCTGGGCGCTGGCCCGGAATGCTAGGGCTTCCAGCTTCTTCCGGTTTCTGGAACGCGTTCGGGGTTGGGGGTGTGGAAGTGTAGGGTTTTGTTGGGGGGTGTTTGTGGCGGGTTGCAGGGTTCTGGAAGAATTCGGCCGCTGCCTCAGCCAACGCTCTGCAATCACTCTGCCATCCCTAACCACAAGCCATCAGCCCCCAACCGACAAGACATGTGAGCAAAACACGGTGTGTATGCCGTGCTCGAAGCGTCCTGGACCAACAGCCCGTCCATCTCCAAACATCATTTCACCTAAGTCAGCAAGAGACAGGCTCCACCCTAAACCCTAAACTCTGAAAACTCTGAAAACTCTGAAAACTCTGAAAACTCTGAAAACTCTGAAAACTCTGAAAACTCTGAAAACTCTGAAAACTCTGAAAACTCTGAAAACTCTGAAAACTCTGAAAACTCTGAAAACTCTGAAAACTCTGAAAACTCTGAAACAGCCCCGGGTCGGGCCCATCAGCTAAGTTGGCAGCTGTCCTCTTGAACTGTGTCCACGGGCCTGCGACCTTGTGCATCTGCAGAACATGTGGGCGACGGTCAACAATAATCCCGTTTTTACCCCAAAAGGCTTTAGGGCCTTTCGGGCTTAGTGTGTAGGGTTTAGGAATACCCTAAACCCTAAACCCTAAACCCTAAACCCTAAACCCTAAACCCTAAACCCTAAACCCTAAACCCTAAACCCTTAAACCCTAAACCCTAAACCGAATCGAAACACAGCAAAGTCCCGGAGTTGAGATCCGGCCCCCCTCAGATGTGCACACGAGCGCCCAATAAGGGCCACACTTTGCTCGCTGGGCACCTCTCCCTTCTCTTGCTTGTCATCCTGGTTTAGGGTTTAGGGTTTGGGGTTTAGGGTTTGGGGTTTAGGGTTTAGGGTTTGGGGTTTAGGGTTTAGGGTTTAGGGTTTAGGGTTTAGGGTTTAGGGTTTAGGGTTTAGGGTTTAGGGTTTAGGGTTTAGGGTTTAGGGTTTAGGGTTTAGGGTTTAGGGTTTAGGGTTTAGGGTGTGTTTTGGGCCGCCCTAAACTTTGAGGAACTATACTGTGGTGAACAGCAACTCCAGCCACCGTGACGGCTTCCATAGCTTGGCTCACCTAGCTCTTCAATCAAAAACCAACACAACATCAGAGAAAATCAGAGAACGGTGAACAGATACCTCAGAACACCAGAGATGACGCAGGTGGTATGCAAACCCCTGTCGGTCACCTAAAAAGGGCCACTTAGATCGCTAGCTCCTGTCATATTGAGCTTTGGATAAGGTTTGGATTGTTGGGGTGCAGTGGACCCTTAGGCCCTGCCAGGGCAGAGCTCAAGAATGCCGGCACTGGCTCCTGCTTCCGTCTGCCGAAAAAGCGCATGGTGCAAAGGGCTCTCGGAAAAAGTGTGGTCTGTCTCACTTCTCTGATTTAGTTGGCCTATTGCAGCCAGGCCTGCGTTGACCTACAACAGCGGCCTGCGGATGAAGAGCTGCTGACTTGCGCAACTTGACCTTCCCATACCTAAGACGCTGCTGACATGTATGTGATGCCCAGCACTGCCTGCAGCATCTGAGGGCAGTAGCTATTTGGCCATCTCTACCCTTGACGACGGCTGCGCGCACAGGTTGCCGCACGGGCTCAGCATGTGTCTTCGCTGCAACTGCACACAGCCGTAGTCACCCTGACAAGCCGTAGCTTGGTTAAAGGCTCCTCCTTGCAGAAAACTTTCAGGGCATGTTCTTAAGACCCTCATCCTGGGTTCACAAATTGAGCCTAAAGCCACCTTCAGCCCTCCAAACCTCCTAAGTGCCCCTAATCGGGGAATTAACAGGCCTCGGGCTGATCCACGCTGCGAGCCTTGGCAAGAACATGAAGGATCTGCAGGGTTTAGGGTTTAGGGTTTAAGGTTTAGGGTTCAGGGTTTAGGGCTTAGGGCTTGTCAGGGGGTTTAACAGGTTTCATCAGGGGGCTCTTGTTGGGACTCCCGGTGGCAAACCCCCCCCCCCCCTCCCCCGTGGATGAACTCCTTTGGCTCCTACAAACCACAAGAACTCCGCCCCCAAAAACCCCTAAACCCTACTTGCCAAAGCCCCCAAAAAAAGCGTGGAGCTCCAGAGCTTTTTTGGGGGGGGAGCTCTGGGAAGCCCGGCGCCTGCACGTAGCCTGGCGCAGTGCTTGAGAAGCTTGGAGCGGCTGCTCCGAATTTGGGGTTTGGGCTTAGGGTTTCGGGGTGTAGCTCGTAGGATTAAGAGTCTTTAGAGCACCATAGTGCAGGTTGAGGTTTGTCGTTTTTTCCGGCTTCATGGCGGCTCTAACTGTGGATATAAGTCGGGTAGCTCTATTTATAGGTACTTGAGGGGAAAACCGAGGAGCCAGCCTAGAACTCACACCACTATGGACGAGTCCATGCTTTAGCAGGGTTATCGCTAGATTTCCACTTATCATGCACTTATCTACACCCGCCTCTCCCACTTCTGTCTCTCCTCCCTCCCTCCGCCCCCACCACAATACCCCCCAGCTCCCTCTCCAATGCCTATCCTTCTTTTTGGTCTGTCCTTCACTCCAAACACCACCACGTACTACCACACACCACCACGCACCACCAAACACCACCACACGCCACCGCACACCGCCACACACACCGCCACCACACCACCACCACACCACCACCACACCGCCACCACACCACCACCGCACCACCACCGCACCACCGCCGCACCACCACTGCACCACCACCGCACCACCACCGCACCACCACCGCACCACCACCACACCATCACCACACCATCACCACCCACCACCACCCACCACCACCCTAAACCCTAAACCCTAACACCCTAACCCCTAAACCCTAAACCCTGAAACAAAGAACCCGCGTTGGTTTCTGTTACGCCCCGGCAAGGTTTCTGTAACGGTTTCAAGCCGGCAGTTTCCGTTACAACCCGCCAATTTCCGTAACGGACTTTACTCAAACATCGAGCACCAATCAGAAACCATATGGATGGTGATAGAAGCATGTGCATCCAACAAACATGCCTAAACCCCAACTCACCTCAGTCAAGTTCAGCTTTAGACGGTTTAGGGCTCGGGTTTTAGGCGCTTCAGGCGCTTTAGGGTTTAGGGTTTGGGGTTTAGACGGGCTCCCAAAACCCTAGACCCTGGACCCTGGACCCTAGACCCTAAACCTAAACCCTAAACCCTAAACCCCAAACCTTAAACCCTAAACCCTACCGGCCTTGCCAAAGGCTCGGCAAGAGTGGTCGGCAGAGGTCGGAGCTCGGACTCCTTGCGCCATAGGCTCTGCGGTGTCAAAGCAGGTTTCAGCCGTTTGTCAGGGATTAGGGCTTTAGGGTTTTCGGGTGCCTTAGTTGCAGGGTTTAGGGTTTAGGGTTTAGGGTTTAGGGTTTAGGGTTTAGGGTTTAGGGTTTAGGGTTTAGGGGGATTCACAGGGCTCGGGAGTGTATCCCGTATTTGAAGAACCGTTTGCCTGCTCTAACGTGACCTGGGCTGAGCTCCTGCTGTCGTTGCTGGAACGCCTGAACACATCGCAGCAGCAGTACCTTGGCAGGCTCAGATTCAAGGAAACGGTTCAGATTTCGGTGTTTGAACGCCCTCCCATTCTTGCAGCCGCAGAACCCTAACCCCAAGACACTCCCTAAACCCTAAACCCTAGACACTCCCTAAACCCTAAACCCCTAAACCCAGTTGATTCCTGGGCTGGCTCCGAGGGCTCAACCCGTTCTTGCTTGATCTCCTTGACCAAGACTGCCGTGATGCCTTGGGGCGCATCTTGGTGAAGCCACCAGGGTTTAGTTTAGGGTTTAGGGTTTAGGGTTTAGGGTTTAGGGTTTAGGGTTTAGGGTTTAGGGTTTAGGGTTTAGGGTTTAGGGTTTAGGGTTTAGGTTTTAGGGTTTAGGATTGAGGGTTGAGGGTTGAGGGTTGAGGGTTGAGGGTTGAGGGTTGAGGGTTGAGGGTTGAGGGTTGAGGGTTTAGGGTTTAGGGTTTAGGGTTTAGGGTTTAGGGTTTAGGGCCTCAAGCAAATGACAGTTTTTGGAAGGGGTTTCTGGCAGTCACGAGTCCGCCGAGGCGTGGACCTTCTGTTCCCGTAGCCTCGACTTCGGACTCGCCAAGCTGTGGGGGAGCATCTAACATGGACAGCAGCTGGCCGCAGGCCTTCCGCTTGGGTTTTTGGATTTTGGGTTCAGGGTTAAGGGCTTAGGGCTTAGGGCTTAGGGCTTAGGGTTCAGGGTTTAGGGTTTAGGGTTTAGGGTTTAGGGTTTAGGGTTTAAAGCCCCAACTATTCTACGCATGGTACGGGCGAAACCCGGCTGGCTGCACGGCATGTACTGTCAACCTGCTGCTTGGGGAGAATATAGCAGAGTTGGGCCAACTAGAGCGTTCTGCTGGTTCCAAATTGCACACAGGTCATGTGGTACGGCCGCGCCACTTAACAGAAGTGCGTGATCTGCAAGCCTGCTCGACTGCCTTGTAGATGTACCGGTCCTGTCAAGGGTCTGCTTCTGGGTCTACGTGCTACGGATCTTGCGAAACACATGCGAGAGTATGCAAGAATTCGTACTTGACAGAATCATGTTTGCGCCTGCATCTTGCATCCATGGGTGCATGACACATGTACGTATGCACGTGCTTAGCCATACTTCGAGCACAAATGCGTGGCGTGCACATGTGCGTACGTCGATTCGACGACAAATTTCTCGCATACCTTGATTCGACCATCTCTCTCAACCCTAAACCCCAAGGCCCCAAGCCACAAACCTTGAACTTCGAACCCAAAACCCCAAACCACTAAACCATTCGTACGGTCCTCTCGAAGCTGCTCATGGAGCTGAAGCTCTCCGAACTGCTCCTGGAAGGAGAGGTACCGGGCCTGGCAAAAAGCACTCAGGGCAGCTCGGGTTCTCGAGGACTTTGCTAGGATTGTTTGGGGTTTACGGTTCGGGGACTAGCCTCACAAGCTCCTCCAGCCTTTTGACATGTAGCTGGGCTCAACGGGCATTCTGCCGTCTCATGACCGTTGCAGGGGGAGGGGAGGGGAGGAGAGCGGGTCAGGGCCTGTCTGTGGCAGTCAATGATGGAGTTGTCAATGACGTCCGGGGAGTCATATCGCAAGATGTAGGCCGGACAGTGCACCTGCGCGGTGCGTCCTCATCTAATGCAGCAAGTATTATGAGGCATGATGTGGTTTTCAGTAGTGGAGTCAGAACATGCTCATACATCATCCTATACTTTATTTGAACAGACAGGACATAGCAGCCAGTGCAAGGGAGCAACTGAAATGCGTCAAGCCTTCAAGCACGGTGGTTTAGGGTTTGGGGTGTCTTTTGGGGTTTAAGGGCTGCAAGGGGTTGCGAACTGATTCATGGACGTTGTGTCGGGATTCAGGTGAAAGGTGCATTCCTCTACCAGGCCCACACTTTTTCGCTCATGGTGGACGCACCCATGAATTCCACATCATCAGGGGGCAAGACAGCATCTCGCACGAATAAGTTCTGTGCAGCTCCGTACATGGGTGCAACAAGCTCATGTAGGTGAACTCAGCCATGATCAGCTAACAAAGTGACAGGCATGTAGATGGAGCTGCCACCTATAACATCCCGAAGGCCGGCTAATGAGAAAGGCACCATTCCTAAAACCCCTACATGAACATTTGCAAAGACCCAATTAGCTGCCCCTCCAACCTGGCATTGGCCGGAAGTCGGGGAGGCGACTAGCTAGGGACAAACGTGCGCCCTCACATGGGCGGGCAAAGTCGCGCTGGGAGAGCACCTTGGCTTCAGCAGTCGCTTGGACTTCGGGGTGATCCCGGAAGGCTAGAGGGTAGGGCGCGCAAGGGAGCTACAGTTCAGGGTTCAGGGTTAAAATAGGGTGCTTCGGCTTAAGGGAACGTCTGTTTCGGAAGCATTGCCAGAGTGCTTGCCTGCTCTTCGCCGGAAAACCCCATAGATCCTTCCCCCCAAAATCCAGCCTTGAACCCAAAGCCAGCCTGGGAGGGAGAAACCAGGGAGGCGAAACCCTAAGCCCTAAGCCCCAAAACCCTAAGCCCTAAGCCCTAAGCCCTAAGCCCTAAACCCTAAGCCCTACAGCCCTAAGCCCTAAAACTCTAAGCCCTAAACCCTAAAGAGCTCAACTTCCCCTAAGCTCCACCGGTGCCCCCACCGTCTGCCAACATGCGCAGCATGTCCGGGCCCTTTGAAAGTGGCCTCGCCATGGGCTGGGGGGGGGGGGGGTTTAGGGTTTAGGGTTTAGGGTTTAGGGTTTAGGGTTTAGGGTTTAGGGTTTAGGGTTTAGGGTTTTGGGTTTAGGGTTTAGGGTTTAGGGTTTGAGGCAGTCTGGATGTTGTTGGGTTCAGGGCGTAGGGGTTAAGGGGTTAGTATACGTTGAGGGTTTAGCGTTGAGTGGTGGCTTTTTGCGGGCTTCTATAAAAGAAATACTGGTGGTACTCCTATGTGGAGAGTACGGAATGTCAAACACCCGTTTCAGGATTCAAGGTAAGCTCAACCACAGACGCAGTTGAGAAGTTAAGGGCTCAATGTGCCGCGCACATTGAGATTGGGAGGATGAGGGTACGAGGGTTTGACCCGAACTCCAAGCCGCCCTCAGCTCAGAACCTTCCAAAAGAAGACTCTCCAGTAGATTGAGTTCCGCCCCCTGAAACAGTTTGCTCATGTATACTTTCTCTGATTCTCAGCCGACACTTGATATGGCCTTGTCAAAGATCCTTGTTTAACTGTTCATTACCCTAAACGCATAAACCCCAAACCCGAAACCCCAAACCAAATCTTTTTAAACCCCCATGAGCCCTCTGCAATCCTGCTTGAGCCCTCTGCACCCTAAAGCCTCCAAAACCACCCAGAAAACAAAACAATGGCCCTAAACCAAAACCCTATACCCTGAAAACCCGAAACCCCAAACCCCAAAGCTTTAGTCCCCGTGGGGCCCTCAAAACCCCTAAGCACTAAGCCTGAGACCCTAAACCCTAAACCCTAAACCCTGAACCCTCAATCCAGCGCCTCAACTTTGGGGGTCGTTTTCCCATGGCCCCGGTGGCGGGCGGAAGCTGCGGGGTCTGGGCGCGGCTTTGGGGCTTTCAGGGTTTCGGGGGCTTTAGGGTTTAGGGTTTAGGGTTTAGGGTTTAGGGTTCGAGGGTTTTTGGGTCTAGGGGTCAGGGGGTTATAGGGGGGGGTTCAAGGGCAGGGGGTTTAGGGTGCATTCCCACATTGGACCAGCTGATTGCCGACCCTCAATATGGGGTACGCGGGGCCGTGGACCCTTAACTACCTGAATGCCCTCAACGCCCTGAATACCTTGAATACCCTGAATATCTTGAATAGCCTGAATACTCTTGATCCCTTTAATACAGTCTACGAAGCTTGGTGGTTTAACATCGGGGTCGGAATAATTATAAATAGCATTCCCTCATGTAAATAGCCCTTAATACGCTTCATACCCCAAAGGCCAGCAGCTCGATGTGCACAGCGTCTCGCTTTCACTCAAGCAAGCGCAGATGCTGCTTTTCTTCTTCGAGGTTTCGAGCTCGGGGTTCCTTCAGCCGATAACCCTAAACCCTACACCATAAACCCCAAACCCTGAACCCCTGAACCCTAAACAGTCAAGCTTTCAGGGACCTGTCCTCCTGAGCTAAGGCGGCCACACTCTTGGATTCCAACAAGGGCTTGCTCTTCTTCGAGATGCCCTTCTGAGGTGAGACAGCGGCCTCTGCATCGGGAGGGCTCTTGCAAGGGCTCTTTGAAGGGCTCTCTGAAGGGATCTCTAAGGGTTTTTGGGAGGCTAAGGTTGAAGGATTGAAGAGCTTTGGGGGAACTTCAGGGGTGCATTTCAGCTCCTCTGAAGCCCGCCTTTGCGCCCTTCTTAACGTCCACGGGCATGCTCGAATAGGTGGCCTGCACGTGAGGGCTTCTTAGGAAGCCTTGCAGGTAAGCCCGAAGCCCTGAACCCGAAGTCAAAGAGGATTTAGGGTTTGGGTATGTAGGGCTCCAGGGTTTGCCGTTTTCAAGTCGGCCCCCAAACACGCACCGAAACCTGTCGGCATCGTGTGCTTCGATATGTGCAGCCCATGTGTCCCCTGAGGTCCCAGGCTCGTTGCCGCACGAAACGCCTCTCCTGATGGGGTCGAAGTGGTTCTTGCAGGTGCTTGTGGAGCGCGGGTAAATGCACAGATGAAAGGTACACAAACTGACAGAAATTGCAGCAGCTCTAAAATGAAAGCCTAACACGAGTTTTTTGGTTTTCACTACCACGGATTGGCCTCGTCAAACCCTAAAACCTAAAAACCCTAAACCGCACAGATGCAACTGAAGCACCTGCAGGACCGGATCTGTGTGAAGTCGGATCTCCTGCACCATTCATAGTTCACGGCTTGGGTTTTCTTATGAGGGTTTAGGACTTCGAGTTCACACAATTCACGTTTGAGCGAGGCGTCTCCATGCCTCACCCTGCAAGTCGATATCCACAGCTGCCCTGCAAAATCAAGGCACACTTCTTGCGATGGAGACAAAGACTCAGCTGAAGGCCTCTTGTACTGCTGGTACACATTCGGAGGACTGATGACCCTGCGCAAGATCCGTCAGTGCAAGGAAGTGCATGGTTCCAAGAGAGGTCCGCAAGCGGCCTGTGATAGTTCAAGCGTAGCACACGCTTTGTCTCATCTGCAACCTTGGACAGGGCGCCACTGGCAAACTCGACAAGCGCACATGTCCACGGTGCATAACTCAGCGTCAAAAACTGGCCTTGTTCGGATCAAGAGATATGGCCGGCAGACTAGATACCTCAAAAACATAAGATGAAAGTGAGCCGCAGCTGACACCAGGAACGCAAGACAGCGCCTAACAGCCTTCCACAACATGATCGTTTAGGTCACGGCAGTTGCCAGCTTTGTGCAAGGGCGTCGATCGACGCCAGCCTTCAAGAACAAAAAGGTTACATTGATAGCTTTATTTGTTATAGTTCTAGTCTGGCTATATTGCAGGTCTACCAGACAAAAAACAAAAAATGCAATGCATGTGTAATCTTAAAACCATGGCAACACGCAGCGGAGTAGTTACCAGACAAAAACTAAGCCCTTGGTTTGCACAACTTGTACAAAGCCGTCTCGCTTCTTCCTGCGGAGGCTTGTCTAGAAGCCGCTATGAAAAGGGCTCTGGCTCTATACGCAACGCCCCAAAGAGCGCGCGGGCTCCAACTTCCCGCTGGACCCGAAGCTTGGAGCCCAAGAAACCAAGGAGACGGCGCCAAGCCCACACTACAACCAAGCCTGTGTAAGGACACATTGACTTGTGTTGCACGGTTGTGTCGGATGAGTGTGCTTGCCATCGCGCGACAAGGGCGACGCGAACGTGAGACACGAGAGCCATCAGACTCGCGAGCGTCAGAAGTGGCATCAAGCATTACGAGTTACGAGCGTGGAACCCTTTTGGGGGCATCCCAAGACCTTCAACATAGGGGTTGATCCCCTAATATTAAGACACAAAAATGCTGACCTCGGTGCAAAAGTTTTACAAACTCCGGAGCTAGTTTAGGGAAGGCTTTCAGTACTCTGCAGAAGGGGACTGAGGGCTTAAGCCGAAGGCGCGCCTCGATTGCCAAAAGGTCTTTCTCATACTCCTGCATCAGACCTGCGCGATTTAAAACGCACCTGGTTACCCCAGGGACTGAAGGCTAAGGGTAGGGGGGGGGGTCTCTGGTTCAGGAGATGGCATGAAGGGCTGAGCAAGCCTGACTGCGTTCAGTTCATGTTTTTCAAACGGGTGCTTAGCTGGCATTCAGGGAACAGCACCCTACGGATGAAAACCCCAAGACTATGAAACAGTCCACGAAACCCGAGAACCCACAACCCTACTTAAAGCTTCATGGGAACTTCTATAATAGGGCTATAAGTTATAAGCAGGGTAACCATGGTGATAACCCTACATAGGGCACTTAGAACCCTACCGATAAGTACCCGTGAACCAGCAAGAAACCCGAAGCCCCGAAAAGATCGAGCCGCCGGGCCAGGCCTGTGTTTATCAAGCGGCGCTGGCAGGCTGCTGCCAGTCCTCCCCCGAGAGATCTAACCCTGCAAACCCCTTCAAACCCTTAAAAAACCCTTCAAAACCCTTCAAAACCCTTCGAAACCCTTCACAACCTGCAAACCCTTCAACACCCTTCGAAACCCTTCAACACCCTTCCAAACCCCTTCAGACCCTTACAGCCTGAAAGCCTTGAACCCCAAGGCCCCCCAATTACCTCGACGGGGTTTCACACTTTTCTGACGTGAGTTGAGGTTTTGGGGTGCTTTAGGGGTTTAGGCCTTAGGGTGCTTTAGGGCCCTTTGGGGGGTGGAGGGGCCTCTGGTGTTTGGAGAATTTAGAGCTGAGGAAGCCTAAGCCCCTTTAAGGCGCGAGTTGGGGGTTAGGTGTAGGGTTTCGGGTTTGGGGTTTAGATTGGTTCAGGGCTCTTAGGTTCAGTATGGACCCTCATATTTAGGGTTATGAACAGGAGCCATGATTTT